GAGCTACCAGCAACTGTTAGACACCGTTCCGGTAAGCTACCAGCCCGCAACTAGACAAAAACAAAAAGTATTATGTTTTACGCTAAGAACTGAGCTTGTGTGTGGTGGGGAGGCTAAGAGGGATGGGGAGGGTCAAAGGAACTCATAGCAGGAACGCCACTGAGGTGGCTCCTTGCCATGTCAGCAATTATATCCAGTCAAACGTGTTCACCGTCTTTTGGACCCCAACCAGGGAGCCGTGACGCTCCAACCTAGATCAGCTCCGAAGTGTGGGCCTTCATTGCTCTGGACCAAGTCATCGCTTGGTCACCCCTCCTCTTCTTCCATCCACATTCCGGTGAGCAAACAACGCAAGTTGTGGAAGTCAATGGGCTGGCATACACAACATGTGACCCAGCCATGTGAGTCTGGTGCGTGAAATGACGGTGCTGAGCGGTTCATTTCCTTTTCCCGTACCGTTAACAGCTCGTCGAACACACTTGTTACTCACGCGGTGTTCCGACCAGATGTGAGCCAAACTGCGAAGGCACCGATGGTCGAAAGTAACTAGCCTCTTCACGTCCGCTGATCTCAGGGGCCAGGTTTCTCAACCGTACAGTAGGGTCGGAAGTACCGCTGCAATAAACACTTTATCCTTTAGGGCGAGAGTAATGTCGCGCCGCAGCCATAGGTGGCGAAAACTAGCAAAAGCACTTCGAGCTTTTGTTATACGGTTCGCGATCCTATCTTCGATCCTAAGGACGCTGATACAACTTCCCAGGTAGTTGAATTTTTGAACGGCTTCCATTTGTTCCCCACCAGAAGTAAGCGCAGGAAGCGATCCCTGCCAATCTTGTAGGAACGCTTTGCATTTCGATGGTGCAAAGCAAATGCTGAAGCTGCTCATAGCTACTGCTAATATGTCCAGCGGGGCTTGGCACGTCTGAGAGCTGTAACCGATTAAGGCAATATCGTCTGCATATTCCAAGTCAAGAATTCGTTCTCCTGGGAGCAGCTCCACACCTTCCAAGTCATGACCTGTAAATGAAATCTTCATGACTTCGTCAACAGCGAAGTTAAATAGTAAATGTGACAGCGGGCATCCTTGTCCCAAACAGATGGAGATTTTGAAGGGTAGCGTCAGCTTACCGTAAGCCCTCACTCTGCGCGTGATACGCGCGTATAATGCTTGGATAATATTTACATATTTCTCGGGCACATGTTACCTGAGTAGACAATTACAAGGTGCACATCGTTCAACTGAATGGAAGACACCTTTGATGTCGAGAAACACGATTAGGGTGGGCCGCCAATATGTCTGACGGTGCTCTAACAACTGACGCAAGGTGAAGATGTGGTCGATGCAGCCACGGCCCCGATGAAACCCGACTTGCTCCTCATGAATCTGGCTTTCACGAGCTCTAGTCAATATGAGAATAAGTATGGAGGCGGGTAATTTGGAGGCGATGGAGATCAGGCTGATCCGTCTTTGGTTGCCGCTTTCTAAACGCGAGTAGGCTTTGAATATGGGAACAATAACGGAGCGGCTCCAGTCGGATGGGACAGTCTTCTGATAACAAATGTTCACCAGTATTGCATGTAAAGAATCAACGAGGGTAGAGCCACCGAATTTGAAGAGGGCTGGAGGAAGATCATCTGGTCCCGCGGCTTTGTTCAACTTCAACATTCCGATCGCACGTTCGACTTCTGAGCGAGAGGGCGGATCCCAAAGGACAGCCCATGGTACAGGGCGGTCACTGGCAGACGAAGAATTGAACAATTCTGGCGATAAAATTGCTTTCCAAATTTCTCAACCCAACGCTCCAAACATCTTGACAAATTGTGGATAGGCTGTCCACTTTCGTTACGTATAGTTTCACTAACGCCAGATCTCCTGCTGCCCGTTTCCCTTAGCAGACGGAATAACTTACGACGGTTGCCAAGGGCAGCAGCCAATTTCATCTCTGACGCTCTGATTAGATACCTAATACCCGAACTTTACACACTTTGCTGTCACTGCTCGACATTTCATTGATTGACTCTCAATCTGCGTCAACTTAGTACTGGTCATATAAAGGTTATTTTTATTATAATTCTCTGTTAAGCTTTCACTGCCAATGCATTCAGTTTATTAGGATACTCCAGTCTGCAACATTCATTCGGTCAGTCTAGATGTTCTTTTTCCAGCACTTTTAATATCTCGGCTCGACGAATTACGGAACACCGCCTTCCGTCTATTTTCATGCCTTGTTTTATCTCTGCTGAAGTGCAAAAGTAGAACACATTTGCCAATTCATATCTCACAGTAGAATGTGAAATAACCTGGAGCCTCAATTTAAAAGCTTACAAATTATTAAAATCATTATAAAATCACCCCCACCTAGTCTGCAAGAAAAAAAAGTTGGTAGCTGCCCACACCTTAGGCAAAAAATAAAACTATGCTCCCAACTCTTTCAAAGAGCATATACTTGCTTGTAGAACTAGCAACCATTACAAATGCGAACAAGTGAGGTCATTACATTGTTGTTGCTAGTTTATCTACTGGGCCAGGATTACAGGTGAATTTTACAAGGAAATGTCATTTGTGTAGGTGCTGCCTCCCTCCAACTCTGGAATGCAGTGGGTTTTTTGCAAGGTCAAGCCAACCTAATAATCCGCATCATCAAATGTGTTCCGGAAAGAAAGTTAAATGATTTCATTTACATATCTCATATAGATGTTACGATTTTCATTACCTGGTCATCCAAACCCAAAATCATGCCCTTTAGGTAAAGGCTCAAATGAAGACCACTAAGCTTAGGTAGCCAATCAGCCCTTAGGCAAAACACAATAATTCTTGCACGATCATATTATTATGTACCAAAATTTGGGAGTAATTATACAACTCCCCTGCCATAACTCATTCTCTGTGTTTGAATTCTCACGTCCATCGTATATAGCTGTTGCAGTTTTTTAGGAATAGAAACCAGACAAAATGATGCGTTAACCCTTGTTTTTTCATCATCCGAGGGAAAGTCCTCAAATTATTTGGTTATTTGTTACTTAAAAATATGGTAAAAATAGAACTCCGGACTCCTTTGGTTAGTATCCATCCACGGTTGTGCATAAATAAAAAAGTAGATGTTATCTTCCTCGGCGATGCGAGGCACAGTCCAATTACGTGGTCTGCTCAATGTGTGCAGCAGGATTGCATAAAGAACTATTTGTGCAAGCTTTATACAACTGATCAACAATGGATTTTGAATTTACAGGTCTCAGGTATTAGAAATTGCAAAGCTGGGAACAATAACAATGAAGGATTTAGACAAATGTTCAGGTAAAGCAACATGGCTATCCGTGGAACCGCCACATGTGGCCTGCGTTCATGCAAGGTATTCTCTCGAAAAGTTTCGTCCGCAATACCTTGTCTTTTCTGGCGGTGCGGCGGTGTGGCCAAGTCACATATAAGCCATCATCTGTTTGATGCAAGTTGCTCCTTTCTTTGGGTGCTTTTATTCAAAACATTATGGACGATGAAGCTCCAGCCCTGTCCGTGTGCTGATCATTCAATTATGGGACCTTTTATATACTAGTCACTCGGTGGCAATGTGTCTTGCATGGGTTGACGGCCACAATTGTTTGCAGTTTAAATGAACTAATCGCCGTCATGGTCGCTTGATATTCACCGATCCTAACACCATGAGGTTTGTGTAATTTTGTACAAATTATGAAAAACTCCATTAAAATTGTTCACTAATACATTTCTTCTGCATCCCTATCTAAATCCCAGCCGCAGACAGCACCGTGTGCGTGAGCGTTTTCTGCACGTTGCTAGTGTTTCCTTGCATTTACTGATTCTTGAAATCACCAGAAGAAATCAGTTTTATTTTAACTCATGCAAAACGCAACTCGTGGTTTAAGTTCGTTCAAACGTCAGTAGTTTTCATAACCTATGCATCTAACTTTTGCTTCTCCAAGCTGTGTTCAAAATCTGCCTTTAAAACCATTATTGCCGCGCGTAGATTCATAATAGTTTTAAATTTCGTGGTAAACTGAACTGCTTACAACGAGTGTGTGAAACTATAGCCACACCTGTATTTCATCTATCATTAGTCTGAAGAAAGCATTGCTGCATGGTGACATTTGAAAAAGAATACCACGAATCTGGCCCTTGAACTGGATGAGCCGATCGTGCTAGCATACGACGTTCCTTTGTTGATAATGGTGTATACTCATGGGAAGTTTTGATGCGCGTACCTAAGAATAGACTTCGTTTAGTCTTCCAGATGTTTTGAACATGCGTTTTCGATTTACTAGAGGATTTCATTCAAAACAATCACCGGAACCACTTAAGAGTCAGCAGGTGAACTCGACATGTTCAGCCAGGGCACATGATTCTTTGGGAATAATTTGGTTCAGTTATAATTATGCTGGTAGATGGTACTTTTTACCACAGCACGCCGTGTCGGTGCAGTATTATAAGGCGAAGTAAGCATTTGTGCCTCAAATGAAAGAGAGCTAAATTCATTGAATTGTTGAATACTACTCGAATCCGTTACTACGAGTGTTAGGGCATTGGGTTAATTTTACCGGTATTTGAAATCGGAAACAGTTCATCGGCTGAATTTTGTTTAAGTGTTCAAGTCGTCCGGCCATAAGCATCTACGGACGATGCGCCCGAGTTTCAGCGATACTCCATCCTAGCGGTTAGCTTCTGTGTATTTTGCTCAACAAATGGATTTTATGTTGTCGGCAGAAATAAACCTGGTATTCCTTTTAAAGATCTTAAGTGTATTTGCGCATACGATGTGTTGGAGAAGAGTGTATAAGGGTTAATAATAATTGCCTGTAAAAAGCCTTCACATGTTTCGGTAAAATGTCGTGTGGACCAAACGTCAATAAAATCTGAAATGAAGTATGGTTAACTGGCCAACAAATAAACCTGGAACATTTAAAGAAGTGTCTTGTCACCAACCAGTGATTTTAGTTGCATCAAGTCAAGAAAATACACTGGATTTTCATATTGCTGCAGTACAACTCACTGATGGAAGAATTTTATTACATCGGTCGCACATTTTGGGCACATTTGGAACATCGCTGCAAGCGCCTGTTGCATTTAAACACCAGTGTACCTGAAGAAAAAATAGTTGACAAGGATATAGTCACATATATATGCTCTAAGTCCGGTTTGCATTTTATTGATGACAACGATGAGAGTGCAGTAATTTTTTTGCAAAATGTGGATAATAACCGCGTCCAACCTTTTTCGGTTGAATCAAAGTGCCGTTTAGTTCAAATCCTGCGAATGTAAAATTCTGCTTTGCTTTCACGTAGGCCGATTTGCGTCTGCATTACACGCGGACACCCTTTGTCCCTCGAGATCGATCCCAACCAATTACATCAGACAATTGTTTTTTTAAATACTTAGGTCATTTATTGAAATCACAATAGTCTTAGATACAGATTATGTATTCTGATCAGCATCGCGTCGACGATGACCACTTTTGCATTCTACTTCTCAGGTTCCGTCTAGGGGACACGGAAGCAACGCGATGCAAACGTGTTGTAGAGTAAGGAACGCACATCTAGATGACATCATAGCTTGAACACAGAACCGTAGGATTTAATGGCGGCGCAGTTTTGACTCTACCTCATGCTGCATGCGATGTTGGTTTCTGACTGATTCCCGCATGTTCTGTCCCCCTCATAATATAATTAGCAGCGCGCCACCGACGAACTGTTAGTTAAGGCAATTTCCAACCAGAATTTAATACCGGGTGCAATGTGGTTATGAAAACGGGCAATACAGAACTGCTAATCAGCTGGAGTTTGCGATTCACATATCAAACAGGCTATGCCAAGCGAGTCATGCTTTTCGCTTATGAAATTCCAGTACCTGGATTTTTGCATTATAATTACCACTGGCCGTCTTCTCTGAGTAAGTCGTTGAAAACTATTTTATTTCTGGACGTTTCACTACCGCTTTAAACACTGAATGTACCTCATGTTGTGTGCTTTCGTTACTACTTTATGTTGACTTCTAAATAACATGCGTAAGACGTTTGTGAGATGATCTCCATGTGTTGATCAGTAACCTGCTTACAATTCGATACGTTCTAGTAGTTCTTGAGTACATTTCAGATATCCTGGGGTCGTATTGTCCGATTAAATTTATGAACACCTAAAGCAGCAGGTTCTATATTTTTCCTCATTGCATGACTATCGATGTGCAGTTATAAGGCACTTCAAGCGAAGGAAAGTCTTTTCTGGTTGCCATCACCCTAAACAGATTTTGTAGCTTGAATAACAAATAAAAGGATTAAAGCAAGATCGCTGCACCGTTGAAATGAAATTATATGTAAAAATTTAAACCGATAAACCTTTATCCCTAGGACAGTTGTTTCTAATATATTCAAATTAGAGTAGCTTAACGTGTAATCATAATTTTAAAGGAATTCTATCTGAAACCTGACATTGGGCCTGTATGGAATTATGCTCCTTTCATTAGCTGGCTGTTTGTAAGATAGCATAAAGTGATTCTACTGTGATAAGCTGTTACTCTTGTGAAACTAACTCCGCGTACGTTTATTTGTGCTAATAGGCTCGTCGCGAAAATAGGTATTGGGAAGTCACCTACGCAGTTGCCTTGATAAGACGGTGAAATTATAAAGACCCTGTATAAAACCCGAATCTATTTGTACACCTTTATACATATTCCGGAAACTACTCACAATATAATCTGTCACAGGGATGCTGGTTTGAGTTGGTGGTACCCATTGCAACTCCGCCGCAACTGTACCGTTCATCTGAAGCGCCATATAATTGCAGGTCAGGTTGACCGGTGGTGAAGGCGGCTTGGGTTTCGGATTACTCAGCTGGACTGGTGGAGAGAGAAATTCAAATCCACGGGAGCCAAATCGATTCACCGCGGTTAGTTGGAATTGATACCACCAGCCGACAAGTGGTTCTTTTAGCTGAGCATCCATCAAAGTAGTCTGAGATAAGGAGAACCGATTTGTGAGCTTCGAATCTCCAAATGTATAATTGTGTTTTCCCTTACTTACTATATTCCATTTTTCTGTGGCCTTTTAATGTTTTATCGAACAGTTTTATTAGCATCCTTTAAAGTAACTCGTGTGGTACAACCAAGGCCTGGGATTAACGAGAGCATATGACTTGACAATAAATGCAGCAGCATACAATGATTTATTGTTATCATTTAAATGCCTCTTATTCGCTGTTCCCAGGTATGACATGTACATCATCAATTTGCTTCGTCGCCTTCGTTTTTAGGACCCAAACTTTTTCATTTGTGATCTGTAGTTTGGATCTTATGCTGAATAAAACCAGTTTATCTAAAAATTCCTACTAGCGAGGACTTGCAAATGCAACTCTTTTGCAAGTACTTCAAGTCACTTTTCAACATTTTTACAAGCAATTGATAAATACATGAATTGAGCATTTCCATAACTTTGGAGAAATCTAGCAGTCTAGCAAAAACTATAGATCGTAAGCATTCGGAATGCGCTTTCGCACTTTTACGTATTATTGAGGGGATTAAAAAGTAACAACAAGTAATAATCGCAAACGTTTGACGTTTTCGAGTTAACGTGACTACGAATGGAGATGTAACTACGTCACACCAGTTGTGCACTCTACTAAGGCGGTCAAACAACGTTTTACTAACTGACATTTAGCAGCTTGAGAGTATATATTCACATACAGCTTTGGCTTAGCTAAATCTTTTAAAACATGGTAATTTTGGAGAGAATTTTTTTATTTATGGAATATATATATATTTACGGAATATAATTTAAGGATTAAAATGTTTTACACTTAATTGTGTAACACGCGAGTGATAAGAAAAAGTGCTCTAATGCAATTATTATGAACAGTCACCAGAAAATAATACAATAAAATATATTTGGGGTAAGCCTCAGTTTAATAACAATTTTCTTATTTTTGACAGGATTGGATGAACTTAGATATCTTCCCTAGGTATACATTCGGCGAATAATCAAGCGTTCCTACCTTTTAATAAACATGATGATCTCGGGGTGCAATACCTCCTGCACTTTTAATATCCTGTCAATGAACACGTGACGGTAGTGTACTGCAAAATCGATTTTTCGACACAGTGGGCCACGAAATGCCAATTGGCACCTACCTGTAGCTAACCAGAGGTGAACCTTAATAAATCAAATTGCAATAATTTACAAGTGGCGTTGTTCCATCCTTGATTGCCGCTTGTTGTGGAGTACTCGGGTGGACTCTGATCATGTCTTGGTACGCTGTCGTTTTCCACGATCTCTATCGGGCAGCGCATTAAGCGTCTCTCTATTGGCATTTGATAAATTTTTTCAGGTATCGGTCACGCAAATCTACTAAGATGCTCTGCTTACCGAACTTTTGCTCTCTTTTCCTAATTACACTGAACTTCAGTGATCAGGATTTCTGCCGCCGTGCATGACGTAGCGGCATGCGCTGGTGGTATTAACAGTCGTCAGCGTAGAACTCATTGGATATCCTTGAGGTAGATTAAGCTGTTGGAACCTAAAAAACGCCCTGCTGGCTCTGAGCACAATGTGAACAGACCTTTCCAATATCAGTGCAGTTGGTCCCCTGCTTCCGGAACGCTTCCTACATAAGTGTTGAAGGACAAGCCATGGGTGTTTGGAGTAGATGCTTCAACGGAGGTTGAGGTGCGAATCACGATCAGCATCCTCAATCTTATTCGTGCTACTGGTCCTTATTTCTATCACATGCACTATTTTGGGATGATGGTGATCTTCTCTGCAAAGCACTGACTTCCCTGTTCGTACCTGACTGGAAGGAAGAGATTGTCCTGGCTAACTGAAGTGATTCGATTATGGTGGCAATATATAATAGTTGTAGCCGCACTGACGGTGATAACCACAGGGTATTGGTTTAACAGAATTTGTGACGAAAGAATTGCCCATCATTCTCGTTCGTCGCCTCAAAATGAAACGGGAATCCGGAATTTGTGAACAGCAGACAGCTATCCGTGCTACACTTAGCTGTATTGACCACATCATCAATCTGCCGTAGGTGGTACGGCAGCATGCCGAAGCGTAATAATAGCGGCCTTCCGACACTTAAACTGTGCAATCAATTCAGTCTATGGACGCAAATTTTTGATATGGTTGGCCCAAATATGTTCCGAAGAAATAGGTGAGCATTTTGCATGTCCATACTGGAACAGTACAGGTCGCGTCAAGGGCAACGGTTATCTGCCGGATATATTTCCGACAACATTTAGCATTTGTCGGGGTTTTCCGAGTTTACATTTCTGTTCAATTTCTTCATGGACTCCATCATGTAATGTTCACTTTCTGTACAGGTTTTGAGGCGCCGTGAGGTGAAAGGCTAGTTTATAAAGCTTAGATGGACGACATCGTTTTGTTGTTTAACATTGTTGTGGTGTAATCAATGCTGATTAGACTCACTAGGGGTTCGCACCTTTAAAGCAAGAGGAACGGGTAGTCGCTGTTCGATTCATTAGCAGCTGCATCAGCAACGATGGGCGCATAGAAACTGAAACCCATTCGCGTGTTGCAAAAGCCAGAACTGACTTTGTGAACTTGAAACATGTTGGGCAAGAGAAGCTAGTTTTTCCGTTTGAAAGGTCGAGTATACACGGCCACAGAAAAGGCCGTTCTACTCTATGGCAATGAGATGGCATCTCCGGTCTAAGAAGCTAAAGCACCTTCAACAAGTTGAGTATCGCTATCTGCAGACCATTGCTGGTGTCAGTGTAACAGCCACGTGTCCGCAAGTAGCGGACTAAGGGACTAATCAACCTGAATGAGGTCGCTGATGACCAAAATTGGTAACGTCGGTCTGTCTCGGCTTCCAGACTAGAGTCCGCGTGATTTGCCTTTTTCTTGGTCCGATATATTAAAGGAAATGATTCGCAGTAAGCACCAGGGGCGCGACTGTTGCCGTCTCATAGTTGGACTACCAGGTCAGCGTGTTTTTCGTGTTATGGTAGCTGCTGGTAACGGCTGACTATGACGCTGGGCAGTGAAAGCCGCAAGGAATCTGTCTCGCCGATGCCGCTTTATCCTTGAATGCTAGCCAGCCTTTTGTGATATTATGTTGATGACAAATTGTAGGATCATTGATGCCGATTGTTTGCTTAAAGAATTAAGGCTTTTCAGTAATTCCCATTCTCTCCATTTTAGTATTCTTTGTTCTGTATGCCATAATGACTAGATGGCAACCAATTATCAGTTCAGAGAGCTGATGCACTGTTTTTGATGATGTTGATCAAACCTGGATTTTTTAGGACAATGTAACGCAGATTTATGAGGCTCACACACTATGAAGTGTATACGTTTCCAAACAATTTATCACGGCTTATAAATCGCAGTCATTTTTCCCTTCCTTTTCTGCATACAGTGCTCGAAAACGTTTGCGATTACTACATGAAAACAACATAGTTCATGTGAAAAAGTAGTCGAAGTTCTATCAAAGTGTTGGTCCGATCACTTCTACCATCTACATGACTTCAGATTTTTCTTCCCAGTTATTAAGGTTTTCATGCTTTGTGTGCAACTTCCGAAACTATTTGTTTACTACTAGAAATACCGAGACAATTCTGCCTCACACAAGGCAGCCAAATTCGCTTTTAACAAGTTGAATGACATTTAGAAAAGTCCACATTACCTGACCTCCCCATGATGTCTGGAAAAGCTGAAATCACACAATGTACTCCAGACACCATTAGGTACTTAAGGTTGTCAATTGCATGAAACTCAGATTAATTGGATGATGGATCCCATATCTCATATAAACGCGGCGACAGCTTGTTGCGATTAGTCTGTGTGAACTAACTTCAATCTATCTAGCCATTCCAGCTTCCTGCGGAGAAATGAAATCAAAGAAGAGAATTAACCTCAAACCGAGTTTGACAAAAGAATCGTTCAACCGGAAAGGCGAGAAGTGGTTAATATACCATTTCACACTTTAATTGATCGTTCTAGTCATCTAATAGGTGTTATGATTTGCGAGTATTGAATTAAACATTTACGGTCATAACTTTGTTTGTTTTGATTTCCGTGGCTAATCTAGTAAAGCTAATCCTGATTGTTTTATACATGTTTTGGGAAATAATCTGCTATGAGTTTACTGGTTTCCACAAGACAGCGGATTTGTCGGTTAAATATGTCCCTTTCATCTCAATCTCATCCAATATCTATGCCACATATAAATGGCCCCATATGTGTTTAAATTATCAAAACACTGCAACATGCATGCTTAGTTTTGGGAAAGACGTAGCTATGGTCCCGAATATATGTCGGCAAGCAGCTTTAGTTTACAAATATTGGTGAGCTCTTTTATTATATTTCATCATGCTGACGCTCGTTCAGTTAATAAGACTAATATTTTGATTATAGGTACACCATTAATCAAGGCAAACGCTACATAGCACTAATATTCATTATAAGACCTTACCAAAATCTCGCATCAAAAATGGCAAATACAACCTAATTTAAGCCCTAATTGATGCAGTGATTTCCAACATGATGTTTACTTCTCTCAACTATCGATTTTTGAAAACAAAACTTTTATTTGAATGCTTCTACTATATCACGCTTCAGAATGTAAGCTGAAATTCATTACGTTAAACCTGAAGTATAAGTAAATACCTGCTACTTAACTTACTGATATTATACCCATGAAAATTTACATATTTCCAAAGTTAATAACGTAAACCTTCGCGACCTGCAGAACGGTCGTAAAGGGAGGGTAGGCTTGTAACCTGTTATCCAAAATTAACGAAGCAGGATTGATTTCATATTTGGAATGAACAATAAAATATACTCTAGAGACGTAAATAATGTAGCTGTTTTTTCATGCAGGCATTTCCCTTCACGAATTTCAATAATGCCTAAAGACCTTCGAAAGCTTTGAATTTTTGCTGTTAACATCGCTCTGTTTTCCACTCATTGTATGTAAACAGCTGAAGAGAATACGCGAAATTACTGAATTCAGTAAATTCTGTTATAATGTTGTTTTTTCTTGCTTTATTGAAAGTAGCTGCTTTTGTGTTATTCAGTTATAACGAAGGCTAGATGAATCTCTCTAAGCATATATATATATATATATGCCATTTGACATGATAAGCGCAAGAGTAACTACGCAAAATCTAATCAAATTTACACACGCGTGCATGAAATGATAGAATTATTATGTGAAGTTCCACTATGTTAATGGAAAATTTCTCAGATTCTTAGGTAGTTCCACGGTAGCTGTAAAGTCTAATAAAAAATATGACGTATCCCCAACGTGGATTGCTTATATGAGGACACGGTATTTCTATTCCGTTATTATTCTGCACACCTTGCTCTGCTTTACTTTGTGTCCTACAATCAGTTACCATATAGTATATTTATTCTTTTCGCTCTTGATCACTGACATATCCTTGACGTTTGAAGGTCAGTCATATTATTACCTTACTGCGACAGTACCCAAATACTCGCAAGTCGCCGCACGTTGTACACTTTCTGCCCTCTTACACAATGATTGCAAAATCTATCCGTAAGTCATGTACTGTTTTTGATATGCCCTATATTTATTTGTTGGTAGCGTCTAGCATAGTTTTCGTACGACTTACTTAGTTTACGCTTCGTAACATGGATACAGTAGCACCCATCTGAGCAGAGCACTCAAAACGAGCTGTATTTTGATGTGGCGATTTGCTAATCATGCAAGCATCGTGCAGTTATTGTGGATTTTGCTGTGTAGGACGACTTGCTCTCAGACGGTTCATTACCATTCGAGGTAACATCAGTGAATTATTGGCAGCAGCTTCATAGCAGGAGCTAGTGGAGGGCGAAACCAAGGAAGAATGTTGTCAATCACTACGCCGTTCCCTGGCAAATGAAATTGGGCATTTAGCTTTGTTCCGGTTGGAGGTTTTTTAACATATCCGATTGGGCGATTATCATAGCTTGCACAAATAATATTGCGGTGCGGTTGGGTCTTTCGCACCTGGATTAACATAGTAAGCATATGTCAGGAGTTGAGGTTCCAGTTTTCTTTTTCCTCTTGACAAACCTTTTCTCAGAGTAGCTTCTGGATTGTGCGGTATGACGTTATGATATTTGAAAAAAGTGGTAGTTATTTCGCATGTTTCCTTGATTTTTGGCAAAAGGATCCGCTCAGTTATCACTGGCGTATGCTTGGATTCTCTGGACTTATGGTCTAAATATACTTAGGGAACAATTTTTGGGTGCCCGTTGCACCAAAGTTACTTGAATAGGTGTTTTAATTGTACTCGTTTCGCTTACGTCGTGCTGATGTATCCCTATGTTTTGGAAAGCAATTGTTGCACCCAGATTATTTTGTGATTTTTGGTGTGGTTACCGTAAGAGTTCAGTGGCTGATCTGTGTGCGAGATTTTCTGCTAGATGAAATTGTCACATCCGCTCTAATTCTAGTTGCTAAAACATCCAATGCAGGATGTTTTTTAATTTTTGTATATTATGTGCCATCGCCCTCTGCCTACATTTTAGTACCAGGAAAATATCATCAACGCACAGCAACCGAAGTTTTAGAGTCGTAATTATTAGTAGGTTCCTTTCAATGAATGCATGACAATCTCTCTGATGAGTCCGGAGATAGAGAACCTCACTGGGCGAAGTTAAATATTTTTCTGAAATGTTTGTTTTACCAAGTTTAAATTAATATCTTCTCAAGCTTTTAGAAGAAAACTAGCATTTGCTGAAAACATCCATCTTTGGGTTTACCTTCTAGTAACTATTGTTCCGGAACCGCTACTCGTCCTGCATTGATGATATTCTTTTGAATATCGCTTTAACGTCTGCATTCAAATGGCGAAGTTTGGCGAACACCAAAGAAAATAACAAGCCTCATGAGTTACCAGTATTTATTTTAATTAAATAATCGCATTATTTAAACTCTTGTTGGAATAGTGTCGCTGTTCTTATCATAACCATCATAAATTGCTCCGGACATCACCGATTTAAATAATGTCGTGTTGAGCAGACCAGCGAGAAAGCACAAGTAACCAGAACTATTTTGATCTCTCTAGCAGGCAAATACATTTATTCCAAAGTCGAGAATATGCATGACATGAAGAAGTATTTGGGCAAAACGTTATCTTTTAATTCGTTTGTATCTTTGAGATGACTGTATCCATCTCACCATAAAAGGTGCACAAATTAGAAAAATTAATAACAGATTCATGGAGTAAATGCGTTGTCTTAGCAATTTAATACAGCTACGCACTAATAGTCTAAATGATAGTGAATATTAATAACTAACATACCATAACGAGCGTCCTCCATGCCCCAGCATGTTGACTGTCATAATCCGGTCCAAAGTAGCTTTTTACCTGCAACACATATACAACCGGTTCGGACAAGTTGTTCCCAATGTCTCGCTGTCCCCAAGAAAGTATGAAAGATGATGGGTTCTGGGCTTCCAAAACCTGCACCGTTGGAGCCGGAGGTAAAATATCTAATGTGACGAGACAAAATTACAATGTAATGCGACTTCTCTAGATATGAGTTTTAAGAACTTGCTGCCTTAGTTCATCCCAACGCCTGCAAATTCTTCCGTTTTGGGAGGCAGCATATATGGATAACAATATCAGCAAAAGGAAAAAAATCTAGCTTTACAATTGAAATAAAATCTCTGTATGATCCTGTAATTAAGTAGAGCATTCGCAAGTCACCAAATCAAATGTACACTGGCGGATTCAAATAAAAAATTTCGTACTATTAATATTTATATAAAGTAAGAGCCAATTGTGCTAAGAAAACCGTGTGTTTTCGTAATATACGAAAATAACAGGCTAAATCGTTAGTTAAAATGGTTGCACATAGCTGCTTTTATTTTGTCAATATAAGGTCAGATGGTGTTACATATTTGCTTTTTGCCCATGTAATATATTAATATGGTAGGTACCAGTGATAAGTATAAGCTACTGTAAAATTGTTGCTGTTATCGAAATTGCAGCTGCTCTATTCTAACTGTCACCGAAAGTTGATATCTTAAATGCATATGTGTTTACCAGTGCGCCCTGTTACTTATTTGCAATTATTCAACAAAACGTATCCCTTGCCAACATAAATGCAAGACTGAAACTTGAACGATCCAGCGAGTTAAACTATGCATAACATTGTCAAGATACACAAAAGAGCTCCTCTGCGATATTCTGACTACTGAAGCGGATTAAGTGGATAGGGCTCTTTGCCTAGAAATATAGGTATATGCAATGTATCCTCTGATTCAAAGAAACGAATGTCTGATAACTTAAATTGTTCAATAACAATGGTGTCGGTGAATTTTAAATGACTCAAAGTTTGACCAAACAATTTTGACATTTATAATGGTAGAAACTTCCCTAAGGAGAGAAATGCATTTCCTAATTTTTAAGTAAAAGCTGAGTCGTGATCCAAAGAAAATATCAGCTACTTTAATTAAGGTTACGCATGTCCATGTTAGTTGGTAGCATCACACAACGAAGCATGCATTATCTAGGTTCAAGCGTGTTTGTTGCGCTCATGTGGCCCACTTGCTCATTCACAGCACTATTATTTTCATAGCGTCAAGTTATTTTACGCCGTTCCATAGCTATTCTATCATGCAATCTCAATGAGGCAATTGACAGCGCTTCACTCCAAAGTTAATTCACAATTATGTGCAGCTTACTGCCAAAGTGTGGTAGCCTAATAAGCTGCAAAGCCTTATATAAAACTGGCGGCAGTGCGGCAATCTAAAACATTCTTTCATTCCAAGTTCATATTTGCACGACTAATTTCATTGCGAAGTGTTCCCAAGCTTAGAGGTCGTCGCTGCAAGAATCGAGAGTGGGTTATCCTCTTCAGACACGGTATTACAAGCAAGCGTACGTGTTACGATGACTGGCTAATTGTATGCATGCGGCGCTGCCGCCGTAGCACAAAGAGCTCACTCAGATGTAATATCGGATGGGCCGAATGGTGGCAAATTATATATGGATAATACGATAGCTTGTACCTTTCCAAAACTTTGCTATACTAGGGGCGATCCTCGTGGTCTCACAATAAATATGATCAAATTTTACAACACTGTCCAAACAGTCGGAAAATAGACTGTCAAGTTACATGCTAGGACCAGCAGGGTTGAGAACAGAGGAGTGGTATTTGCTACAAATCAGTTGAAGTATTTGAATATAGGCGCCTTATCTATGCGCAGGTTTCCGGCATCGTATATTACTCATGTCAGCGGATTTCATGGAATTACGTCTAGATCCTACGCGGAATGTGTAGGATATGGCGATTGATCATAGAGAACACAGTCTCAGCGGTCATTACCTTTCCACGGGTTGATAATTATGGACTTGGTTGGGTTAACTCAGAGGCGGAATTTCTTATACAAAGTGAAGATGAATTATAATTGTTGGCTGTCTTTGACTAATGTCGCCTAGTTTGCTAACCCTACTCCAAATATTCCGATAGGCTATAACATGTCAAACGGTGACTACAGAAGCTGAGGCGGATTGCTAATATGCGCCGTAAACAAAGCTACATGCGTTATGCGCCTATTAGTGCGTTATTTGTCGAAGCATTCAAGTCGGTTTTATAGCTATCTATCTCTACGTTTCACCTTATTTCAAGGACAAACTGGATGATCAACTCGTTTGGTGAGTCACAAACACCGCATGCTTCCAGACCATACAACAGAACTTCACAGTATTTAAAACTGAGGCACTATGGATGAAACAAATGCAGATCACTTAGAATGATCTACCCTCAGGTCAACACTTTCAGCCATGTATACTTTGTGATAACCAGGTTAGTAATGTATGAGCAGCCATTCATGCGCCGCTATCCTTTTGACCTCCGTGTGCATTCATTTTCTGAATAAAGGACCATCTCGGCTGCCAAAATATTGATCATATAATTCCGTCGTTCGTTTTATACTTTATTTGGTGTACAGCCTTTGGAAATTAGATATTTACCGGGGAAATCCATCGGGTAGGTAGCTGACGGAAACTTTTAGCATGGAAGACGAGATAAGAAACGCTATCGGATTGAGAATATGCAAGTGGAAGCCCTCAGTGCCAAGAGATTTATATCGGCAATCATGGTGAGTAGCGATTTTCCTCTGCAAAGCCTTAATACCGATTGTTGGATGCATTGATGAGATACAGGTTGAAATCAGTGAAGAAATATTCGAATATTGTGTAATGAGTGCAACAAAGCAAACCTCTGCTTGTGCTGGAATTTCAATGCCATTTACCTGAACCTCTTTAACATGGTAAATTATTATTAGGCATCATGTGTCGCCTCATTCAAAACGGTTACGTTGTAAGGATTTGTCTATCATGATGCTTGTGAATTTAATTTATCACCAGCTTATCGGATCCAAATGTGGACAATGATTAATAATCCAACGGAAACCATATCGGGGATGAATGACGTCATTGTAGAGAAGTTTTCATTAGAACACTGTTTTGCATGGGCTTCTTTCCCAGCATTTCTCTTTCCATGACAAGTAGCACAATTCTCATTTAAACCATAACCTGATCATAAAGTACCCATATTCAAAGCCGTATTCACTGCAAACCTGAGGATATTAATACTCTTCACATGTGTATAAACTTGCAGAAGCTCCGTTTGCTTGGTATTCTATACCAAAAAAGTCGTCCACGTAACTTCGGTAGAGCCTGAAATTTGGAAATAACCGGTTTCAACAGGTTATCCTCCGACATGCCCATGTAAACATCAGTCAAACTTGGCCTAAGTTGGATCCCATTGCAAGTCCGTCTACCTGACTGCACAGTTAATTGTGAAAACAGACTTTCAAGTTGAAGGTGTACCAGTGAAGGAGCTGCTTCAAAGGGCCAGTTGACATCTCCTTGCTATTACTGTGTTGGTCAAATTAGGCGCAAAGTATGTTGACTATTTCCAGCGGCGTGACATTAATGAACAGTGATATCGAGTTTAGAGCCAACATCGCACAGTCTAAAATGTTTGCGTTTTTAACGCTATCGACAAATTGGAAAGCGCCTCTCAGCTAGTGAGCAAAATCTATTCTCTTTTACGTTCCAATATATATTTTAGCCAATTTTCCACCATGTGTTCCGGCGCGTTCCGCTTACCCAATAGTGATCACAATGACGTCCCCAGTTATTACATATTTGGGTGACTATATAATCTTGGAATTATAGAGCCGATCGGCCTAAGCTTTTCTAATATATTTTTGGTCAAATAGCCGTCAATCATTAGTGAGTTCAAGCACTTGATTAGTTATGTTCCTGCATATAGACAATGCGGTGTCTGACAGGACCGATTTCTTGTTCTGCACATTTTTATGGAAGCGTTGACAAGTTCAGTTTCAATGAACTCAGGTACGGGATATTGTAATCATTTTTGCATGCTTTTCCAAAAGAATAGTTGTAGAATATTGTGCGATTTCTCGCAACGCTGCAAAAAGCATTCTTTCTTGAGTTAATACGAGTTGTGCATAAGTAACTGGTCTGTCTCCGAATAGTCAACGGTTCCCTTCGACAATTACCACGTGTGATACCAAAGAAACATTTCAGAGATGGTCATGCCGCACCTTTTATACGATAGCAATTTGAAGGGACTAAACTTTGTGTTTTTTGCATAGTGGAATCAGTTAAATTGCTTTTATTCAGCTGTCGATCACTTTATAAACAAGTAGGTATAATCGAAATTACATTGTTCTCAGCTCCCGCATATCTTCAGAAGGAGAAAAATGGCTGCCTTCAATGGATAGGTGGATGGATGTGCATTCATGTGACAAATTATTACCGGCTCTGCAAGTGGGTCTGTTACTTAAAAGGATTTCAGCGTTTGCCAGAGAAAAGCAATAAATGAAGCTTTTCACCACTAAATTTGCCGAAACTTATGACAAACTAGAACGAAGTGCGAAAGACGTGCGAATGCAGTTGGTGCGGTATAATGACACTTTGATAAATAAAAGCTTGTATGAGGTCAGAACAAGCGAAACTTTTAACCTCAAAAACGTTTTTTCTTTGAGGATAGAGAACAAGCTCTGGTATATTTGAAATCGCGAAGTATCTGGCATTTTCATTCGCTTTAATTTTGGACCGATTTTTCCGTTCATCTAACAGTTAATTAATGGATTTTTTCAAAACGAAAGTACAAATCCTAATACTAGTTTTAGACTTACTTTCAAAATATCCTTATCGATATCAGCTTAGGCCGGACTCAATAAAAGAAACCTTTACACCTTTTTATACTTTTACAACAAGTGAACCACATTGCGTATATTATATTTGCCTACTTAGTATGACGTGAAATCTTCAGAGAATTACTCTCTGAATACCATTTAAACAGGTCAGGCAATCAGGCTTCAGGCAAGTTAGAAAGAAGCCTCGTCTGCCACAATTGCTATCAACAGCCTACTCTCATTACCGTATGTGTCGCCAGCACAAAATCTTGTGAGACGGGATCCGTCAACGTGTGAACACAGTCTCTCAACAGTTTGTAAGATATACATATCGTTACTTACCATCTCGATATATAGCCTCTTTACATTGGGACTGACAACACTTTTCTCCGTCTCGCACACATTCTACATCTTCAGAGCAGCGCGTTGTAAAATGTCTGTCAAGCATATCTCGGCCGTCTAATCCAATGTTCTTAGGGCTGTCTTTGTTCTCCCCAAACCAACCGATTGATGGTGTTAGTTTAGAAAGTCCTGGAATTCGGTGAATTGTCGGCATAATCTCCGGTGGACAATCACCAGGACGCTCTTTCAGAGCAGCAGATAAACTTCGGCATCCATTGTGACAGGACCAGCCACTGGGAGTATCACCAGGCTGCATGAAAACAGAGGTGCCATTAGACAAATCAGAATTTGAACGAAGTACTGGCCTAGTCTAAACGTTTTTATAATGCGTGTGTTTAACTATACAAGATGCTGAGAATAAGATTGGAATCAATTGCGTTAAATCTCATTATCTTTTAACGAGATGTGGCTTTCAGTTTAGAGCATTTCATCCAAAATTGTGCATCCGACAGGCCTGCAAACTTCAATTTTTGCTTCTGTTACAGCGCAGTTTATGTGATTTAAGAGTACATAAAACCTGACAGTGAATGTCATTCACTTTTGGAATCGTATAGTGTCCAGCAATAATTAACCCAATCTATTGGAATGAAAACTATAATACTCTTGTGATATTGGACTGGATAGTTTGGAAATAAGTCAGTGTGCAGGCAATTACATTAATTGTTCAAAGCATAAGGGTTATAATATTAGCTCACTATTACATGTTAACTACTATATACTGCAGCATGGATTATAAGAGATTTAATACTGTGCAAATTTATTAAAATAAGATCAAAGATTTGAAAAGAGGGTCAGTAAACTTTATATATACGAGCACGGCTGTGCTCGCACTTTTAATCTCTTACCTGATACCGTAAAACGCATGAATCGCCGTAGCCCGAGAATCGGAATTGCAAAATTGCGTTGAAAATGTGCACCTCTTCACGGAGCCCAAGAGTGGAGAATTTTTAAACAACGAATACTGTGAATTCCTCAATTGTGTTTACTAAAATTGCACGTTATAAACACTCACCACTGAACGTTCAAAACAGAGGGCACGGGAAACTCTTTCCGGCTGTTTTTTCAAAAGTTTTTACTGATATCCGGTTGTGCAGCAAGATGTTCACCGGTGGAAAAGTGGCCTCAACACAAGAAATTTACATAGTCCAAGCCTATTGTGTGCCATAACCAAGTCTAACAAATTTAAGGGTGTACCGTCAGCCTCTCGCACCCGGTCCTCGTACGGCAAGCCTTAAAAATGTTGGTGCGCCTGGGGTTGACCTGCTGAATACGTATTTTTATGCTGGGTCTGAGTTTAAGCTCACAGAGGAGGCGGGCTAGACCTACTCTAGCATTGATCTTATGGAGGATGGGACGAGACATGACAATATCTTCAGACCAGCTGGATAAACTGTGTTTGGGCGCTCAGATCACGGGTACTCCCCATCCAGGTAGCATTTTACTGTTTTTCACGGATTCGGACCGCAGTTGCATGATACACCAAAATCATTTACCCATCCTAAGTTTGCTACAATTGTAGCAAAAGGATGATAAGGACAAGACTCAAGATCAAAGTTGCCGGCCTTTTTGATAGCCAGCAACGTGTCATCAATTTGACTCTAACCAGGAGTTTACGGTTATCTACCTTAATGAAAGTGCTAGGACACTGCGGCTTGCGTCGGCTGTGGCAATTACTCCCAGTCGTCCTTGAAGTATGCGCAAAAATAGAGTTGGCTGTCACCCTCAAGCTTCCTGGGAAATAATGGCACCTGTCTCAAACGTCGTGATTCTATTGGGGTTTATGCCGTTTGTTTCTTCCACTCCCATTCCATCACAATTCCATCATTAATTTTCTCCTTTCATGATCGGTAAATGTCACTCGTTAGCTTGTGATCAGAAAGCGCGCAATTATATCAACGTGCAACACCCGTCGTCTCATTGTGTTAGTTAGAATGAAACAAGGAACCCAGTTCTTCATGCTTAGATTGTTAGCTGTGAACTTAGTTGGGCTTACCTGGAAGCGCTTTTCTCTTGACCATGTGATTAGGATGGTGATTCCCTGCAGATGTTAACATCTATCATCCGGATTGCAAACTAAACTTCCCCTATTAGATCTCCCTGCATATAAGGCATATAACGACCAAAGATGCTAGGCCAGATTTTTTATGTAAATCGGGAACACTACGAGCTTCAACACCATGCCTTGATGTACGCCACAAGCAGAGGGATACAGCTTTATCAGACACTTGTTTAGTTCCACCCTGAAGTTTCTTCCAGCGCCTACCTCTCGAATGCACTGGTGAAAGATGCCATCAAGTTTTAATGTTGTGTTCCTTTGAAGGGCATCTTCAATTTTCATCTTGTCAAATCTTTGCTGAAATCGATGTACATATCTATAACAGTTTTGTTATGGTTCACATTTTGACACTATTCACGCTTTGTTATCAGTAGGTTGGTAATGCGTATACCACCTAGCCTGAAATCTCGATGTGTTAGCTGCAAGGCACATTTGACAGAAACAGCTGTAGCAACCTTTCTTTACGATCGTCTCGAATTACTTGGCCAAAGCAAGTGTAAAATAAACAGACATCTAATTGTCTACATTGAATTTCAAAATCGTCCTAACGACCAAACGTTTTCACTTAAACATAGAACAGTTGAACCCTTTACTTTAAATGATAAAGGTAATAGCATCGAAGAAGTTAGAAATCATTGAGTGCAGCCCGCCAGTTCCAGCGGGTTATTTTGTCTTCTAGGTTGAAAAGTTTTCGGCACGAAGTTTCAATACCACAGTTCAGGTTGTCCAGTTAGATGAAGGATATGCTCCTGCTACCCGCTACAAGCACATGGTTATCTATAAAATGTACCGCTAACGCAGAGGCACGATTAATGCTGTGGTTTATCTGCCCTGTTTCCAAACTCAATATATCTGGTAGGTGAACCGCAATCTTCGGTCACCAAATCATATACGCAAATAGTCCTTTAGAGACAGTCTTTGCGACCGTTGCGAGCTGCTTTTTGAACTGCGGACACATAATCTTTGTCGCATTGCTACAAATATTTCCTTACTATCTCTAATCATCGTATTTGTCGACTGAGTGATACAGCTGAATTTGTCCCATGGGATGTGCCACTGTGGCGTTGTTCTACGCTCTCTGTCAAAACAACGTGGCTTGATCGGTTGGAATTTCGGAAAATCAAGTGGGAAAACCCGGTAACAAAATGAGCTTACTAACTCCATTATAAAGGACCAGTAAACTTACACAGTAGGAACCTGCGGCAACAACCAATAAATACTGGATCACGACTCAAGTCACATCTTCATATCGTGTTTTGGTAGAGTCATTCTGATTGCATGGCAAGGAAATGCTTTACGACGCGGTTTATAAGCAGTTAGATCTGAGGGCATGCTTGCTCTCGTGGGCTCTATCTTCTGAAAGTCGTACACTTACTGTTCGCAGTATGTTTTAATAAACTCTAGCCGCCGTGCAGCTGAGCATGTTTTTGTGCACCTCAATTTGCTGATGATGTTGTGCAACCCTAAGGTCAATTGGCAATTTACTATTTCTTCGGCCTCATAATATCCAATCAAGTGAACCTTAGATCAAAGTGTTGGCAGAAATTAGCCTCGCTAATATGTAATAATTGAAGGTGACTCACGTGGTTCTGAAACCTCAGAAGCCAATTAGCATAACGGCTATTTGATTCCAAGTCTGCTACATAAAACTTCGGGTGTGTAGTTAAATAGTATTGCAAATATACGAAGAGCAGCTTGTAGCAACCACATATATTTTACGCAGGCTTTTATATGCGAAGGTTTGCTTGCCTCTTTGATTCATTGAGCTATTTGAGAGCTACTCCTACCAGGTTGGTCAGTAGTTAGAGGTCAGGCAAACGCGGTCTCCAGGTCCACCAGCTTGGGGGTTTGAAATGAGATGGCAACGAGTTCTTTAAAGTACTGCCACTTCCCCGCTCCTTAGGTGACAGATTCTTGAGCGATAGGCTTTGCTTGAGGACCTCAAACTTTCTCCTGACTAAGTCTGGGCGCTCCAGCAGTATCTCAGCCCCCATGACAATTTCTTCTTAATGTAACTACATCCTGAATCGTCCATCGCACAGCTTAACAAGCGGTGCCTTTTCTGCTGCATATAACGAGGTAGATAAGCGACAAACTGCTACTGAAGGCGCTTCCCTCCTTTCTTTTTCACTTGTTTCTCTAGCTCCCATCCTGACCCCAATTACTAAACTGCCTGATATAATTTCAGATCAATTGACAGCAGTCATCATGCCTCTGGAGTCGAAGAATCTGCATCTATCTACCAGCATCAAACACTGGCTGCCTCTCGGCAACGGTCTCTTATAAGCGCACGATGTTCCGTTTCCCTGGCGGAGTTCAGCGTTTACATATCAAGACAAATATGTCCACAAGCAGCACTCGCACGCACGGTAGACACACTAGGTATAAAAATGTATTGTGTCGGAACCTAAAAGCAATGACCATATTTGGGTTGTTGAACTGTTTGCGTCTGGCTTGACCTCCCCCCATTTTTGCACCCATCCGGAGACGCTGATGCAGCTCACTCGTGTCAAGATAGGATAGGTATCATACTCGGCTCCAAAGCTGAGTCTTTCGGTCGATGGATTCCAGTGAGGATCCTTTTGTTTGCAGTTCGTTTGACATTAATTACTGTTGCTTTATGAGGTAATACTAAACGCTCTTTCTTTGCGATTTCCGTTTATAATTCCACTGACCGCATTTCGGATGCTGCCAAAGATACATTCCACCACAAATTGAACGCGCTCATATAGAGTGATACTAGTTGAGATGACGTAGTACTTGGACGCACTGATAGGGCGACTAAGCTCTTTAGAAGCTCAGCTAGGTGGTACATATTTGTTAAAACCCTAGTCGAAAAAACAACAGAGAGCGTCTGTTGCAAACGTGTGTGCGGTATCAGTTGTTTCATTGTAGCACCGCTTTCAGACACTAGGAGACGAACTGACACTTAGCGTCCTCCTGTAGCTGGCCAACGGCGGACCAAAATATATGAGCTTGCCAAGAGCTACCATTAGTGCCGTTCCATCCTAAATTGCCGCTTGTTCTGGAATAGCTGCACGACTCTGAGCATGCCTTGGTACGCTTTAGTTTCGCCGATAATCGAAAGGGGATGCAAGAGTTTCCTTCCAATGCCAACTCAAAAATTATCCCAGCCTTTAGTCTAGCAAGCTTAACAAGACACACTGCGTACTTAACTTTGGCTGTCTTGTTTTAATGGTGCTTAGCTTCCGTGGAATACGATCTCGGTCATCATGAAGGATCGTGTTCAAGGTCCGGCGTGGGGTCGAATTTACACCGGATGTGGCAGATGAACACATTTCACAAGATGCAGCCGGTCTCCCAAAGTTATGGCACTCAGTCGTGACACATCACCATCCGACTCTGAACATTCAATCAGCAACGCATCGCGGACGGGCACAAAGGATTGCGTCGACGCAAGTTTATTGTTTAGCGACGAAATCGTGCACTTCCAGTTCGACTCCAGTGCTATTATCAACATGTTACCTGCGAAATTTTGTCCAGGAATCCATGCGGGACGAGAACAAGGCATCGTGTGCATGCGGGAATACTCAAACATCTAACCGAAGAGCATTGAGACCATCTAAATGAGCAATCACAAAGACAGATCCCCACGTCAGTTAGATTTCGTTGTCGTGAAGCAAGATCTCACGTCGCTTCTCGACATAGATTTTATCCAATGTCTTGACTTCGTTTATTTTAACTATGCTCGTTTTGTGAATACATCGCGAGCAGAGACAGATACTAGGGAACAGTTTCCGTCCGTGTGTAGTCCAGAATTTGGGCGGTTTGAAGGTTTTGCTCCTTTGTCACTAGATCCATCAATAAGACAGACTGCGCTGACGGCCAGCAGGCTTCTGTTTCCTCTAGGTGAAAGGTGCGCTACCGCATTAGTTGACAACACAGTTGAGCGTAATAGTTGAAGTCGACAAGCCGACAGACTGGGTTAGCTCAGTCGCGCGTGTTGCGAAAAAGAACTGTGATTTGAGTTTGTGCATAGATTCTAAATCATTGAATGTAGCTCTACGCAGTGATCACCATGCGCTGCCAACCTTAGAAGATGTCCTGTTGAGTTTGGCTAAGGCGAAGTAATTGACAAAAGTGGATAAATCATCGGCCTTCTGGCACATGGTTCAAGATAAAGAATTCACTTCCCTGAAGACGTTTGCCACATCTTTCTGCCTTTGCGATGGCTAAGTTTGCCGTTTGGTTTGCTGGTCCGGTGTGACATATTTCAGATAGGTTACTGCAAGGTGCTGACGATCTATACCGTATAACGTATGTAGCAGACGTGGCGCTGTTTTACATCTGCATCGTGCAGGAACATGACATCAATATGCACACGTTTTAAGCGTTGTGTGCGAAAGAAAATAAAGATTAAAATCGGGAACATTTTAGCTCCGGGAAACTGGAGTCGATTTCTGTTGGTCACTTTCTGACATTGGACTAAATAAAGCTCGATCTCGAGATGATCAAGGCGGTGCTGTAGACGCCACAACCTGCAGATATAAAGGCTGTTTGTCATTTAAATGGCATGGCAAATTAGTTGAACTATTGATTACCAAGGCTGGCTTAAATCATGGGTCTCATCTGAAGGCTGACACACATAAGTGAAAATTTCAGTTTGGGTAAAGAGCAGGAAGCCGCCTTTATAACATTCAATCATCAAATCAGCTGTGCACCCCTATTCGGTTGCTAGGATCCAGCTCTGCTTTTGGTGGTGCAATGTGACAGCAGTCAGAGCGGAATAGGTGCCGTTCCGTTACAGGACGGTTTTCCCTTGGATTTTGGTAGTCGAACACTCAAAGCCGCGGAACAACGCTATGCGCATATCGGAAAACTGATGTCCGCTGTTGTCTATGCGATGCAGCGATTAAATTATTAACATTCGGGAGGAAGATTACAGTGTATGATGACCATGCACCGCTAAGGTCAATAGCCAAAAAACACTACACAGTGTCTCTCGAAGTATTCAAAGCTTGCTTATCCAGCAACAAAAATACCACATCGAACTTGTGTACACCCCGGGGACACAGATGTTAACCGGGGATGCATTGTCAAGAGCTCATATGCCAATACTCGAAATCCAACAAAAAGTTGAGGCAGTAAATATGCTACAACATCTAGCAGTAACCGAATATCGCTAGAAAGAATAAAGACGTCATTCTGAGGCGAAAGCGACGAGCGCGGCGTTGCAAGGCCTGATTTTGAGTGGATGGACAGACACAAAGGAAGAACTTTCGCGGGAAGAAACCTCAAGTTTTAGCTTTCTAAATGAACTAAAGATGTATGACAACTTGCTATTCAAAGAAACTCGAGGTTCGATACCACCGCCGCTTCGCAGAGATGCTAGAACATGCTCATTCAGCCAATTTGTGTGTTAACTGCAGCAGTAACAGGGCACGTGAACTGGCGTTCTGGTCCGGGATGTATCGTCAAAGTTGAGATCTAGTATTAAGCTGTTCAGCTAGCCGATCGTACAACGCTCGTCAAGTCAGTGATTCTGCATGAGATTTCTGGTAGACTATAGAAGAAAGTAGCAGTTGACTTGTGCTGTAAGAACTGAAATGTCTGCTTAAACACAATCGACTTCTACAGTGGCTACTCCGAAATTGACACACCGCTACCACCACGGAAGTATTCCTCTATAAACTTAGAAGTCATTTCGTCAGACACAGATACCACAGAAGTCGGTCTCTGGCAATCTCCCGCAATTTGCAAGAGCTGCGTTACAGAATTTCAAAAACAATTCGGAATTTTCGCATCGACAAAACAACCCGTATCACAGCCAGTCTAACAGATAAGCGAAGGCAGCGGTCAAACAAGCCAAGAAGCTGTTGTCGAAGGCTAGACACACTCATGAAGATACATGTCTGATGCTCCTGGAAATAGGTAATACACCATCACCGAACAACGGTCTAAGTCCAGTTCAACGTCCGTACAGTAGAAAGACAAGTATGCTTGTACCTGCGTTGGCGGAACTTTTGCATCTAGGTTCGGCTCGCATGGGCAAGTGCAAAGCGATTTAAAAAAGCGGATGTCCGATCACAAACGGTGTTACAACCACAATACTCGGGCGCTACCTCAGCTAGCAGTAAATGATGAAGTTTTGATTCAAGCAATATCGGGTGTCAACGAGCGATGGAAGAAAGGTGTAGTGATAGTGAAAGTCGGTCGAAAATCTCTAAGTTAATGCTAGAGAACCACAATCAGAATTAACCGATTGCAACCGAGGAGACACAGGGTACTCGGAAGTGGACCTAAAGCAAGGCGCAGGATGGTTTTCGGTGAGGTCACACAGATGCGGATAACAAAGACAGCGCGGGATGGAAGAGCGTACGACATCTTCAGTCTCAGCGAGGTGGTTCATAATGAAAATGGAGGGATGTGTGGGATTATGCAAGCAGAATTACGGTACGGACCTACATGACGAAGCAAGCAGCTAGCATACAGCAAGTGGACGAAGCAGAAGATTTGACGCCAACGTTTATTAGCCTATATGCTTATTAGTTCGTAATTGTTAGTGTTGGATTGAGTTTATTTGACTTATTTATAGAAAAATTTTAAGCATGCAGTAAAGTCGTTAATTATGGAACTAACCTCCTTATTTACGTTTACGCTCCTACAACCTAGTCGTTGTAATTGTCATTGGGATTGCTGTGTCGAATAAGCCGTTTGTCGCTGAAGAGCCAAGTTTTACGACTCTACGTATTCCCTGACACTGCTTAACTAAATGGTATTGTTTATTCTACAAGATGTAGTGCAGCGCAAGGCCAGAGTTGGAACATTTGCCTTGGCAGTAGGAGATAAACTCACTGCTGACCAGTTTGTGGATGTTGGTCCGTCTCGCCATCCGGGCTGGATTCCACGCGACCCGCCTTGTGCTTGGCTCGAGATTTACAGCATACGGCTTGCAGCCGAAACCAGTGGCCCGTCTGCTGCTGTCTCATAGTCAAACTGCTTATTTTACTTGTGTTTAGAGCTGATGTATCTACGCAGCAATGACTGTTTATGGCGCAAGACAGTGAACGCCACAAGGAAGCTGTCTCGTGGACGTCGCCTTATATTTGTGACGGTGGGTTGTTAACACAAGGTATAGATGCCTTGACTGTGCATTTTTGTTTAGGACACTAAGTTTTTATTGCGTCCTCCTTTCCCCCTTTTACTTTTCTTTCTTTGGTAGCTCATCATGTTTGTATGGCAGCGAACCATCAGTGCAAATGGTTGGTGTACCATTGTTTTTGATTGGTACATTATTCCACCCTATTATCTACGTAACGTAATGGAACACATAAATCCAACACATGATATGTGTCGATAGCTTGTACACGCCATACCAGTCACACAAACGTACCTCGCACATTCGTAGACATTCGTTGTAAGGCTGATCGGATGCACAAGCCTGTTCGCACTGATGGCAGGATAGAAGGGAAACAAATGATTAAATATGATACATAATTTTTAGAATATATAGGTGTGTATATATGAGGATATTGTTGAGGATATATTGTGTACTAAATGTGCATTTGGTTCAAGCCGAGTAATAGTGCTCAGATGAATGAATCAGCCAGAACATAAACTTGATCCGCTTGTCTTTTTAAATATATCAAAACACACGGGTTTTGGGAACATATTAGTTAATGCAAGCAAATATTCTACCTATCAGATTTGTCGAATCCGCTTCAACTCCAGCCTAACAGCAACACACTTTTTAACACAAAAGTATATAATGATCGAAAATGGAAAAGGCTAATGCACACACATCATGCAGTAAGATAAAAAGTGATCTATTCGATTGGATATGAAAAGTCTTTTAAATTTTCTTAACATTAAGATGAGCTTTTGCTCGAAATACATCAGTTACTATTCCGTGAAATACAGGGATGCAACACACACTATGCTAAGAGTTGTGAACCACCGTTTAATTGTGCAATAGTATAGAACGCGGTAAGCTGGCGCAATTTCCTATTCAACAGAATCCGTTGGTTCACTAGGATCGGACAATTGTCTAAATTTCCTAGATTTCTAAACAAATTTTCCTAACAGATTGCTTAGCACAATGCCAATTTGCAATTATTGTTTAAAATAATCGGTGTTGCCTTTCTGAATGAATTTAAGAATCCGTACATCCTTAGAGGTTATGCTTGACTGGTAACTTAAAACACCGAAAAATCTTGCTGAGTAAAATCTACCACCTTTACCTTACTAGCAAATATGTGTAGTCTTAAAGTGTGTTAGCATAAAGCTTACCTCTTGAAGCCTTTTTCAAATAATGTTTGATCAGAAAAATCCATTTGCTCGCACTATAAAAAATACTGTCTAACCTTAGTTAAATGAAATACTATGATAAAAAAAACCGTTTTTTAAATTTAACTTCTGATGATTAACATCCCATATATTATATAACTGACAACGGCTGATTGCAAAAGCGACGTGTAGTCTATCAGAAATCAAAAAAGTAATGTAGTTATTTAATTACCTGTTTTGGCAATAATGTGCTTGCAAAAGTAACAAAAAACTGTCAACAGCTTGAGCTCACTTCCTCATAATACAGAAATCCCGGTGAGAGCCATATGCATTCAGATTGGAGTTGAGTGGGAAATGCTTGCACTTTCGTCAATACATCCTCTATCTTCATTGAACGCAAAGAATGGCGCCAAAAATTGTTTTGCAAATGATTTCAACGAGCGTCGCACATAATACAAAAGAGTAGAAAGAAACAAAATGTATTTAAGTGGCCGTTGTTGACCGCGGATGAAGGAAAATCAGATACATATCATTAACCTATCAAATTAGGTTGGTGTGAAATCAATATGGGATCCTGGATTGTGACCAGAAGAGAAACCATAAAATATGTCCGTGCTTTATATCAGGTGATCCAATTATTAAGCTCTAAATTCAACTGTCAGTCTACACATTGGCTGGAACTGAAAAGCAACAATCTACCTTGTCGCAATAAACTTCATCTAGGCGACATTTACTAAAAAGATGGCTTTGAGGACATGGATACACTAATAACAAAACCGCCGCTGAGCTTGGCTCTTCCCCATATTATCATGTATATCCATCCAGATGAATGCATAAACTTACGATCACCATCTATGCATTCTAGTTGCTCCAAAAAAGTTGTTTTCGAGTTGAACACCAACCTTCTGTCAAAGAAGTAAGCGTTTTTCCCATCGTCTCCATACACACAGAATACCTCCACACAACCATCGAAGGTGGTGAAATCTGTGGGCTAGCATGTTGCAACCATCAGAGTTTGGTACATGATATAATGGTGTTAAGCCGTTCACTTCCTTTTCATGCACCAGAAATAAAAACCTGAAAAGTTCAATTGTACCTTTAGTGTTCCTACCTCTTCCAGCACGTTGCATCGTTACACCACCCGCAACATGTTACTGATAAACGCGACTTATGTATAATCGTAAAACAGATTCTTGGAAGTTCGCTCCAATCTTCGAAGCAGCAAGTGTGGCGAACTTGAATCGGGACTTTGGAGGCGTACGCTCGGCACCTTTGAGCAACGGCTAGTACCACTGTTGATTAACTCCTATGTTTGTCATCACACTGAATATGGAATTCAGGCCTGGTTTCCATTGGTTAAAACGAGACATTCGCCTGTTTGGAAAACCTCAAATAAGAGCCACAAAGACAACGTGTGGACTATCTGGTCTAGTTTACGAATCGTGCCTTCGTGTATTGGTGTGTTCACATTAGAATACCGACGGCTTCGCAGAGACCTTACATACGCATAAAAACTGAAAGCGAGCATTCATGTACATCCCTGTTTACTTTAGTCCCTTTTAAGCGAAGCCGAGGCCGAAAGTTTAAACTAATGAGGAAACCATCCCGTCTTGACTGTAGAAAGTATTTTTGCTCACTTAGAATCTGTTCTCACTAGAATGCATTATCAGACTTGAAGGCATTCGAAAGACTCTTAAACTTTCATCTTAGTGATAAACGCTATATTACATTTTGCTAAAGGGGAATGGTTTAACCACCGATAATTCACCTTCTACGTTTGAACATTTTTATTTCAATTTTCTTTTGCACACCCATCCTGTGCATTTTGTAAATGTATGCTTTTTATCCAAGCATACGTTATTGAACTATTAAACTATGTTCATTGATTAAATATCTTAGGTCGCATAAGCTATAACACTGCTGCACAGACGGATCTATTGAAGAGGTCAACCTTCAGAACAAGAGTGAAAATGCTCCAGTGTCCTAAGTGACGAAGTTACTAAGAGTTTTCTCGCACGCGGTTCGTTACTTAATGTACTTTCACATGCATGATACGATCTTTTGGATCCAGCATAGGAATTTTTTCTTTCAAGCACTAAGTACAAATCCTGAATCTTTTGCCAAGTTGTGCTTGGCTGACTACCATATTTGCTTATTCGTTCGCTAAAACCAGGCCTTCAGCAGTTAATTTTTTGTATCATTTAAAGCAACTTCTTAAGAGTACAAATAGATAGTGTTGTTTGCGTCTCCTAAGCACAATGGGAAACCCAGGCTTTGTTGTCTCTATTTACGTTGGCACGGAAATTCCCGGGAGATTATTGCAAGTCCGCTGTACTTATTTTCATTCGGATTCTATCAACAACAGTCTAAAATTTCCAAAGAATAAATAGGTAAACCGATTACTAAATCTAGACATATATGTTACTAATAGCGCCTGACGGACTTACATCTATTGTCGTTCAACTGTATACGGAGAAAAGGTACTCAACTCGATTGCAGGCATGCTTCGATACGCAAGCCATATACTTGGTTTAGTCAGTTGACTGGCATTTGAATTGGCATTACCTCTGGGTAAACGAAGTAGGCATGTTTAACCAGTGTAAGATGAAGAAGATCTTAGCATAAGCTCAAACTTCATTTCTTTTAGTTGGCGATCTGCAACGCCCAGAGAATTAAACAAATGGTCTTTAGCTTTTCTGCTGAATTTTAACAAATTGCGAACATGGCGACATGCCAAGCTTAGGGAAGACTAGCTGCTTCTAATAGCATTGAGATTGTCCGCAGCATTAAGTACGACTTATTGAGAGGCAAGAAGCTCTGCGATTGCCTGGTTTCTGAAATTAGGAATACAAGATTATTATATTAAGCTAGGTAATGGGCACGGATTGGGTGGTAGAAAATAGAGAGCATACGAGTGAAGCTGGATTAAAGGCGATAGTCATTAAAATCAGCAAGAACTTGACTGTGCCTGAGCAACAACACGCTCAATCCTTTTGTTCATAGGCGATCGCCTAATTAACCAAAAAATATTTTGCAAGGTGCAAATTTCTAATAATGCAATTGCTTATATTACAGATCATACAGTTGCTTTAGGTTTCGCTGTACCAGTTAGAAATAATGGATGTCTGTTGTTGTAACTTTTGGTAGAAGGCAAGGTAGAAGCAATTTTTAAGGATTATGTGTTATTAGTATGCTAATTTTAATATTACAGTGGTCCCCGGTTGGACTAGCTGTAAAATCCTAGAAAATGGAATATATGAATGGGCTGTTTTCTGTGAAGCATTTGGGTTGAATGTTGACAGTTTAATTTCCTAAGGGAAACAAGCAAGATTTGCCAATTTTCTTCGATTATAATTTAGGTTCACGTTTAAAAAACTACAAATCTCATTCGTAGAGAATGGTACAGGCAAATTACTAACAGTGTATAGAGTGCAATTTTGATAAAGTAAATATTTATATGCACTTAACGATTAATCGAATGTATCGTTCCAGGCCACACTGTTAAGTTCAGAGATAGCATAAAATGGTGTAATAGCGACGCATATGTTGCTGCTGCTATATGTCAACCTACCACAATTGTCTAACCGGTGTGCAATTCAGTCAGAATCCTCAAATATAATTAGGTATTGTAAATAATGATGCGGCACAAGTTGAAGGGATCTCTTATGTTGCTTTATAATGGTTCAGGTATCAATACTTCATCTGCGGCACTAGTCAATTGCAGTATTGTAAGTCAAGCCAAGACCGAATGGACAATATTTTATCGTATTTACCAGCGCAAAACAAGTGTCTGTGAAAAGAACAGAAAGAAGAAGGGCATCTGGAAGTAGGAATTGTCATAATTTGTCAAAATCAGTGACGAACGTGTGGGCAGTACCTAAGTAACAGGCTAATTTGTATTTTGGCACTCACCAGATAATGTCTTCGTGTATCATCAAAATGCACTGCCTAAATTTATCTTGTGTGCAGTGCTCTGTTAATGTACTAAATTATTTCCATTACAAATTAAATTTCCTCAAATTTCACCTACCAAGTTTTTATTTGAAATATGTGTACATTTTTGTGATCGCTCTGTCGCAACTGCTTGGATTATTTTTGTTAAAACAACTGCAGTCTTTCCACACGAAGAATGAGACACATTTTTAATTTCCTGTTGGAATAACTCAAAGATGTATTATTCGCTTCCGTAGTCGACTGATCTTAAATAGTAAATTGCGGATCCACGTTACCGTTTGGCGAATTAATGAGTTTGGATTACAAGCCCAGATGATCCGAGTTGGTGTTGCATTAGAATCTAAAATTGTCATTTCTCCTCAACAATAGTGTCTGCTACGAAATCTGATGTCGCCAAAATGTATGGACAGCGCCAATCGCGGGTGAGATATTTAACTGTTGCATTCTTATTCAATTCTTATTTTGGTCGTATTTTATACGAGGCTGTGTGAGCAATTTTCGTTCGAGAAAACAAACTAAAAACAAGCTCAATTCATATGCATGAAATATGACGGCTTTCATTTACCCTGTCAGAACATGATACATCTAACTTACTGAGATATCTGTCAAGGATTTCCGCCGCAAGCTTTCCACGCATTCTCTCAAACAGTGTGATACGCAGACGGCCGCTGCGATTACTCTGCTTTCTGACGGATGGATCAAAGGTGACGCTTGAACTATCGGAATTGCATTTGTGTCATCTTCTCTCCTAAATCTGGGGGTGAGGTATAAATCAGAATATCCTGTAGAAGAAAACATGAGTTCTGATATCCTCCCAACTGGACCACAGCTTATGTTGCTGATAATGAGCAATAGTGCTTGTATTGATGTAGCGTAATCCCGATGGAACATTTTCGTTTTTCATGTCTGCTGCGTCATATAAGCACTGTATGAATTTGGGCAGATATTATGCACTTGTGCAGAAACAACTGCGGTTGTTCCCTTGTGTCGCATCCCATTGGTGTTCGTCTGTCAACAGGTCAGTCAAGCACACGGTCGCTTCCTACCTACTGAAATACGAGCCAACGACTACACACTAGTCAGCGAGACATTAAGTTATAAAAACACGAAGGCATCCTAGTGAAAATACCCGCAAACTTGACGATGTTTGAAGTGGATTAAGGATTTAAAACTTTGTGCATTAGCGCTGCATGCTACACCATGTTGGTAACACGGAAGCAACAGATTACAAAAGGACTGAGAAAGAATAGCTTGATTGGAGAGAATTCAATTTTAATACGTAATTGATACTAATGCGTGATTGATCGATTGTGAGGTTGGCTGTACACATCACAAGTATTCTGTTTACTAAGGTGTGCAAACTGTCTGAAAAATATCCTGTTTGATTAACTAAGCTATTTCGCTTTTGCCTATCCTTGAAGCAAGTTATGTCTTGTTTCGCCATTCTAACTTGGCAGTTCCTTTCTCTTTTTGCATTTTTCTCACTAAAATGGTTGTACGATGGCTATCGCTTCACACTCTGTAATGTGTTAAACCAGACGGTATTTTGAGTTTAATTGTAAAAAACAATCTGAAATTATTATTTGTTGCGTGAAGACAAGACTCTTCCTTAATAACTATGAGACACCACGAATCTTATAATTTCCCAAATCCCTGACTACTGCTCGTTGTGCTGAACTCCACCACTAAAGTAGAATCAGTACTATTGTCGACAGGTAGTCTCAGAAATGAACACTACATCCTTCGTATATTTCCAGACATCCCATAGGGCAAGCGTTATAGAGTCAACCGCAAATTAGACTACCCGAAGGAAACTTCCACCAGCACAATATTTCTCCACTGGATTCCTTTAACGGAAGCCAGTGATAAACATGAAATAATAACGCATGATAAACAACAATGGTGTTATATTTGTGAAACACTCTGCTTGGAGGATGTTTTAGCGAGATCCGTGTCACTGCGGCGTACATCACCGAACTGCAAAGGAAGTGGCCCGTGCGTGTTGGAGGGTGTCCTTTAGTCAAAGCATATGGTAACACGGCTGCTAAAATATCTGGTACATATAACTTAGTAGGCTAGCACTTGAGCTTTTGCTGAAGACAGTCAGCCAAATGCCTCCTAGAGATGATATGTTGCTTTCAGAAACAAAAGCGATGGGATCCATAAAAGAACAATGCACTAGTAATGTGTCAAATAGCCCATACAACATGTAGAAGATGATATTGACAGACAACTTACACATTACGTAACTAACTACGCGGACGATGAATAAGACGTTAAATCCTTTAATAAATATACATCGAAAAACGATTACTCGCTGGCTAATCACTGGTCTGCGAAACTTCATGTAGGTATTGACAATCTCAAAACATTGCTTAAACTTGAGAATCTTTCATGTATGTACACTAACACGCAAATGCTCCTCAGTAAACTTAGCGAAATTCGGCTGCGTCAGATTGCGAATGCATGGGAGCTAGTTTCTATTACAGAAATTTGATCACAACAGGAGGTGACTGACGCTTTGGTTGAGGTAGTTGGAATTGCAATTACTGGAACGACCGCCCTTGTAGAGGAAGTGAGGTCCTACTATCCTATCGCAGCGAACTACAATGTGCAATGGCTGATATTCGGGAATATCACGTTACCGACTAACTCTGTTGCGACTCCGACTAAGACACAACGACACACGTCTCGTAGCTGTGGATTATCGCCCCCAAAGTCCACTCCGGAAATAGATACCAGTTTATGATTAGCGGCCGGAACAGAGTAACACGCAATATGTGCAGCCAAATTCTCATCTCCAGGGATTTCAATCTACACGATCTGGAGTATCGATATCACCAAGTGAGCAGTTCAAAGCAAACTTTAATGAACTGATCGTTAATATTCCGTTGTATAATCATGATACCAAGCCCACTAGCTTAAGTAATGCAAATAAGCCGTCCATATTCGACTTTGTGTTCAAGAATGAAGAGCTCATGGTCAACAAGTCATCATTGGTTAATCTATTATGTCTCAGTGATGATGTAGCCGTAACTTTCAACTAAGTACGTACTGCAGAATATCCATATGAACACTCGAAACTAAATCATACAATCACACGCTACCATGTATTGAAAAGCTCGTTGATGCAGCTGCTTGGAACCATCAAGCAACAGTCACTTTTACCACGTTTGGACAGATTTTTGATAGACTCAGCGACATCATCAACAGAACATCAGAGACCAAACCTCTTCATCCCGCAAAATTGCCTTTCATTCTAAGGAGCAGGACTCGAAAATGCCTCGCTATGTGAGATGAAGCATGTCGTGACTACAAGACTAACCCCGACTCAGAGATTTTGGAAAATTCCCTGACCCATCCAACAATTGCACTGCAATTGTCCGCGAAGACAAATTAACTTATCAAGAGTGCCTAGCCAAAAATATCGCTAGCAAAACAAAAACTGCTGTATAGGCATATCAACAATCTTCGTAATGTAAAGCATGGAATCCATCCACTTTTCACGTCTGGCAGTAGAGTACAAAGCGCCGAAGGAGCAGCTAATTCCCTGCGGCTACAATAAGCCTCTGCCAGTTCTATAATACCATATATATTAACGACTCTTCTGTTTACACATGTAATTTTAAACCCATCAATTGTGCTAAGGAAGTTACTCTCATTACGCGATTGTAGCTCTCCGGGAACAGACAACATCCGTCTGAAGGCACTGAAGTTTGAGGCCAACAAGCTAGCTGAACCACTGTCACAGTTCTTCCAAAGGTGCTTTGATGAACAACACGTTCCCACTATGTGGAAGCGTGGCATTATCACCCCTATTTTTAAAAGCGGTAGCCGTTCAGATCCTGCAAACTATCGTCCAGTGACTTTCCTCCTTGTGAACGCGAACTCGATGGAAGCGGTTATTGCTGAGGCTCTAATGGACTACCTGGAAAAATGAAACACCTTGGCACCGGAGTAGCACGGCCTTCGTAAACACCGGTCATGCACCACTAACCTATTGATGACACGAGCGACTTGGACGGAAGTGGCGGATGATGCGATCGGAATTGATGTCATCTATCTGGAATTCTCCAAAGTTTTCGACCGACTGGATCATCGCATCCTACTTCACTAGCTAGAGAGATATGGTATCGGCGGTCGTGTACTTGTATGGACTGGCAACTTTATTCACTAACGGACGCTTTAACTATGCGTTAGGGGATTACTCACTTATCTGATTAATGTAGATTTTGGTGTTCCACATGACTCAGTGCAGGGACTGCCATATTCCTGGTGCTTATCAAAGACCTAGCAAGAGTAATCTCCTCAAATTTCCTGATTTTTGCAGATGAAATCAGGATACGGTAAGCGATTAAAAACAATGTACTCCAACATGACCTAGATTGCATTTATGAATGGTCAAAGAGGGAACTGCTTTAGTTGAACATAGCTAACCGCCAGTAGAGCCGTCTGCGTCATCATATGGTTAGCGCATATAAGCTTAGAGACCACACCCTGAAGAAGGCCTCTCAGGAGCGTGAGCTGGGTTTATTGGCACATAAAGATCTCAGGAGTACAAAAACAGCACAGAAGGCGACGACAACCGGCAATCAAATATTTGGCCTGCTTCACAAAGCCTTCGGTCGGTTTGAACATTCATCTTTCCCCAAATGCTTAACGCCTACTTGTTACCGCACGTGCAATAGGCTATTCATGTCTATCAGATGTGGCAGAAACAGGCTCTCCATGCTTTCGAGAGTCCTCAATGAAGGACAAGCAAGTAAGTCAGGGGCCTCTTTCATCTGCCCTATTAGCTTAGACAGAAATCTCTAAGTAAGTACAGCAGTCGATCTTGCCTCTTGCGTAGGATCTCATAATGGTTTACCAGGTTCTCAAGAACCCAAACCAAATTTGCCGTCCGCTGCTGGATTTGAAACACAACACTAACATAAGAGGTTATAAGCTGCAAATGAAAATACAATATATTTGGCTTAAATGTCCTAGAAATTGTTTCCCTTCGCGTGTGCGAGCCTTGGAACAAACTCCTTAATTATGTAGTCGCTACTGCCATTTTGGCGGTAGTATAAAAGTCGAAGATGCCTTTTCTTATTTGCATTTCATTTTATGAACTTTTGGCCAATAGCTACAAAACGCAAACGAACGGTGCCTTACCAAAATCCTAACAATTGGATCTATGAATAATAATTTTAATACGCGGACATCTACTCTATTCTACATACGTCTATGGTGAATTCACCAAACTGCCTATCGCGGTATAATGCAATTGACTTTTCGCACTAATTTCCAATCTACGGGACTCGTTAAGCATTGCTTTGTTACCTGTAACAAACCAGGGTTCCTTTGTTCCATTGTCATTTCAATCTGCTTCATCACACAGGGTACCCTTTTTACTTCGACCATTTTTGTTGTAGGATTTGAAAGTTTGCTCCAGTGAATAACATTGTTTGAGAAGTAGCGCAGCTCCTAGACGGTTGTTGTCGCGCCACGTTGCGGTACCTCCCACCCCCGGAAGATACCGCTTTAGCTATGTGCGTTATGCTCGAATTGCATCATCTAAATGATAGCGTAGGCAAGAAGACAGTGTTTGGCAGATTGTGGACGGTTTGAATTGCACATAAGCTTTCCGTTCCAGCCCCGCGAACTGGATCCCTTTATTCGACACATTGGTGGATTGTTTCAAGCCACCTAGTTCTTCCTGGGCCAGCGCAACAATATCCAGTACATGAGAACAATTTTGCAGGTTTTGGTCCTTTAAATCATAGGTGTGTACCATTTGGTGCCGTTAATTAGACGATCAAATTTAACTACCTTGAATAAAAATCCATTGTGGATTAACTATCCATAAATCTTGTCAATGTCATTTTGAAGCGGAATACGGTCTTCTGAAG